TTGGGTTTATTTCTGGGCTCTCTGTTCTGTTCCAGAACTGTGTAGTTTTAAGACCTGACTAGTGAAGTGGGTGTTTGGGGCCTAAAATGTTCCTACTAAGCTTGTACTTCTCTTTGTAGGGAAGTTAATGGTTTGATCTGGAGACACTGTAGGAAAAATGCTGCCCCCATGTGAGGCTTATCCAGCCCCGCACGCAGGTCTGGGCCAGAAGGGAGAGCCAAGCCCTGTCTGCAGCGAGAGATACGTGCTCCCGCCAGAGCCCCAGTCCTGAAGCAGTGACTGTGCATACAGCTATGCACCGGCCTAAAACATGTTCTTATCTTTCACATCCCAGAAGGAGACATGTGCAGGCTGTTCCATTACCCTCGGATCTCAGAATCTGAGAAAGAACATCAGTTCCTAACCTTCAGCTAATACCTGAAACATCCTTTGGCCACTCTTCTTTCTGCCCTAGGCCAGCGACCTTCAAAGCCAGCCCTGCACCCTCTGGTCCCTTGGTCTCATGCAACCAGGCTTCCTACTACAAGCAGTGGGACACTGCACCCAATTCAAGAGATCTGGGTGGGCTCCAAAAGTTTATATGTAGGTACATTTTATGGAAATAGGGACTAAACTCCCAAGATTTTCATGGAGGGGTCTGTGGGCTCATATCTCAGGACAGGCAATAGTGTGAGGCAGTGAGGAGCAGGCATCAAGTCCCCAGCACACCCAGCACGGCCTGCCCAGCCAAGCACTGGACAGCCTCCTGGACCCCACTGCAGGCCCTGTTAACTACGGACACCCAGGCAACAAACACTTCTCCTTCAAACCCCACGGAGTCCACACGGACATAACTCATATACTCTTCCTTTCAACCACTAGTGGACGAGCTGAGCTTCTCCACATGCCGAGCATAAGGGCTGTGTTATGGAAAGTGAAGGGACACTCCTGACCTCGTGGGAGACACAGCCTGACAGTCACACAGATGAGTGAGGTGCTATCACTGAAGTCACCGAATTCCACAGGGAAACACAGGTTCTAGAACAGTCGGGTGGCCCCCCGGGGGATTCGCACTGCCAGCCTACATTCACAGATATTTGGGTCAGGGGCACCAGGCCACCAGGTCACTCAGCCAAACCACAGCCCCATATTTTACTTTATTTATTATTTATTTTTAGAGAGGGGAAGGGAAGGAGAAAGAGAGGGAAAGAAACATTGATGTGTGAGAAACATCGATCAGTTGCCTCTCACACACGCCCCAAATGGGGACCTGGCCCACAAGACAGGCAAGTGCCCTGACTGGGAATCAAACCTGAGACCCTTCTCTTTGTGGAACAATGCCCAACTAACTGAGCCACACCATCAGGACTGGAATTTAATTAAAACACCAAATCCAGAACAATTCCTTTGAAAAGCCCCACCCTAATCTCCACCCTCACTAAGTCTCACAGCTTCCTGTCCCTTATTTCTGCTCTGAGAAAACCTTTCCCAGGGACCTGTCAGGAGGTCGCCATCTGTGTTCTATGCTGCCTGATCAGTGATGGATGCTCAGTCTCCCCTTCTTAGCTCTGAGGGGCAGTCCATTCTTCAGGAGCAGAGGCAGGCCAGGACAGACCCTCGAGGCCAACTTGGGCCTGGTCAGACACAGTCAGAGAGAAGGCCACAGGCCACAGGCCACAGGCCAGGGAGGCTCCTGGGTGGTGGCAGAGCCACTGCTGAAACAGGTACAGGGGTGAATACAACTGCCCTGGCTTCCCTGGGGGTGGGCCAACGACTGGTCAGGGTGTGATCTGGGAGCAGGGTGGTTTAAGGGGTCACCTGGAGGAAATTCGATCCTGGGCACTAACACAATAGAATGCCTGGGTTGGAGGAAGGAAACTAAGTGCTGGACAGTGGATCCTAGGAGCTGTTTTTGCTAAAATCCGATTCCTGTCCTTTTCCTTTAAACTGATGCCCACTAGGGGGCACTGGCTGCCTCAGGCTCTGAGCTGCAGCAGGCCCCCAGATATCCAATCCAGGATCTCATCCCTCCAGCTTCCAGGGCAGTTTAAACATAAGCAATTGCCCTGGACCCATGTGGCTCAGCTGGTTGGAGCATTATCTTGTAACTAAAAGGTTGCGGGTTTGACTCCTGGACAGGGCACATACCTGGGCTGTGGGTTTGATCCCCTAGTCAGGACATATAGAATCCCTGATTCGGGCACCTACGGAAGGCAACTGAGGCACCCAATCAATGCTTCTCTCTCACTTCAATGTTTCTCTCTCTCCCTTCCTGTCCCTCTAAAAGCAATGTAAGAAAATGTCCTCGGGTGAGAATTTTTTTTTTAAAGAAATTATAGTCCATTCTTTCTTTAGCAATATAAAGTCTGTTTCTGGTTTGCCTTCTATTTCAATTCCAGATTAGCCTGATTTTTGCTGTAGTCTAATTCTAGTTGAGATTGCTTCTTGGCCTTTTGGCTAAGATCAAGGGTAATCTTAGCTGAGGCATGCAAGTTCCCACTCAGATTAAGGCAATGTTTCCAAGGAAGAGATTTCTGGTACCAGTCAACCCAAGACCAGAGGGCAGTAATTTTTGACTCCAGAGAAAACTTCAATGTGATAACATAGGACAGAAACACAGGGTCAGACTACAAGACCAAAAATCCCTTTCTGGGTCAAGCACTCCAGAGCAGGAGGGACCGTGAACCAAAACCATCACTCAGCAAGGGCTGTTCCAGGCTGCCCTGATGTTCTCTAACGCCCGGGAGATACAACCAGAGGTCACCAAAATAAAGACAATGGAAACACAAGCTGCCCTCACAAACGACAACTCTCCTCCCTTATTCTTTTATAATATTTTATTTATTTATTTTTTAGACAGAGGAGAAGGGAGGGAGAAAGAGAGGGAGAAAAGCATCAATGTGTAGTTGCCTCTCACATGCCCTCCATCGGGGGACTGGCTGGCAACCCAGGCATGTGCCCTGACTGGGAATTGAACCAGCAACCTTTGGTTTGCAGGCTGGCACTCAATCCACTGAGCCACACTAGCTAGGGCTAAACTTACCTTTTTTATTGACTTTTTGAGAGAGAGAAAGAGAGAAAAAAACACCAACTTGTTTCATCCATTTATGCATTCATTTGTTGACTCTTGCATGTGCCCTGACTGAGGATCAAACCCACAATACTGGCTTATCAGGATGATGCTCCAACCAACTGAACTACCCAGTCAGGGCATCTCTCCCTTCTTTACAAAGGTACCTATACCTCCCGACAGAAAAACATGCAAGGGATGTGAGCAGAGAGCTAACAGAGGAAGAAACAGGGATGGCTTAAACATGAGAAGACATATATAAGCTGTATTGAGATCCCATGCCATACCCATTACGTTGGTTAAAACCAAAAAGCTCACCAAGACCCTGTGCTGACCGGCATCTCCTGTGCTGCTGGTGGGAGATACAACCCCTCTCAGGGAGAAGTGCATTTTACCTATCAGGTAATGCCCAGCAATTCCACTTTTAGAAATGTATGTTGTGGATAGGTGGGTGCAAAATAACATGTGCGTATGGATGAGCAGCATGCCTTACAGCAACGAAGGGTGAAACCAGCTGAATGCCCAAGGGAGGGGGTTGACTAGCAAAAAAAGTCCTTATTCACCACAGCAGGTGAAATCTCAGTTACACTGTTAAACTGAGAGGGCAACAGGCTGGCTGGGGCGCAGTGTGCTACCACCATGTGAAAGGGAGACAGTGGGTCAGCATCTGCGACAGGCCCCTTAAACCCATTTGTGAGGAAGGGTACACCACGCGGCTGCCTGCCACCAGGATGAGAGCCTGCTGGGAGCCCAGCAGGAGAGAAACTCAACACTCTAGTTTTCAGACTTGATGAGTGTGTGACCTTTTCAAAAATTCAAGTAAAAAAAAAAACATTATCAAAATGTTCATAGTGATTATCACTGTTACGACATTATAGATGACTTATATTTTCTTTATACTCTTCTGTACTTCCTAAATGTCTATAATGTTAGTAAAAATCAGAAAAATTAACAGGACAAAGGGAAAGCTCCTGGGCAAACCACTGTCTCTGGGCTCAGATAAACATGGTGTGGCCGGCCACAGCTCTTAGATGAGGACCAGCTCCAGCAGGGAGAAGAGTCCACTGGAGCAGAGCGAGGCCTGGGAGGGCCAGGAGTGAGCGCTGAGCTACATGCACTTGCAGAGGAGAATGTGGAAAAGTAAGAGAGGGAGGAAGGGAAGGAAGAACAGCGGGCAGAGAAAGGTGATGGAACTAGAAGGCGTTAAAGAAGCCTGCACCTACGTGCCGTCTGCCCAGTGCTGTGCGGTGCCCTCTGCTAAGTGATGACCCCATGAACAAATAGGCTAGCTGCAGGGCTGGAAAGACAGAATCACCAGGTGGGCTGTCACTTGGGTACCCCCCAACCAAACCCCTCATCCCCCCACTGCAGACCCGGGGCCAGGGAGTGGTAGTCAGAGGCATAAGGACACTCTTTAAAAAGAAAGGAAGTTATCTGTCCACATTTAAGAGAGTAGGTGCTGAGCCACAGATATAATCAGAACCGTGAGGTTCCACTGTGTCTCCAACACCTGCTGCACTCATATACTTACTGTCCCAACCCCCAAGTCTCCCAGGGCAGGGGTCAGCGTGGCCAACCCCAGCTCCCTCCTCTGAGTCTCCATTTCCTTGTGGGTGAAATGGTGACAGTGACACCCACCTAATGAAGATGGGACAGAACGTGGCACTGTGTCATGCTCAGTAAAATCACCTTGCATCTGAGGACTCAAAAGCACTTTCAGGTTCTCATGCACAACTTCAGGTTTATTTTCTGGTTTAAGAGAAGTCTAGAGGTGACTCTTCCAGCCAGGCATTACACCAAAGAGGCTGGCACTTCCTGCCCTCCCTCATCCCCATTCCCCCTCCACATGGGGCCAGCACCCAGCAGAGGGAGCTCCATCTTCAGACAGCACTCAGGCAAGTGAGGCCCACGGGGAGGAAGGGCATGGAGCATGTGCTCCCCATGGTCTTACCTGTCATAAGCTTCCTTCAGGTCCCTGGCCAGCTTGCACTTGGGCAAGATGTGATGGAATGGGGACTGAGGACCATCACTGGCTGCAAGAATTGCAACACAGAAGGATTTAGAACCTCCAAAGCAAGGAAAGTCACATAGGCTACAATAGAAAATACCTTTTAAAAAGAGTTTTAACCAAACATCAGGATATTCACAACTGCTTCTTATAAAATCTTCACATCCAGTTGAATTAAAATGAGACTTAGGCTGATTTGTTTAACTGTGTTTATGAAATATCTGTATTTAAACTTCAGCACTGGCCCCACCTAACCTGGAATCAGAGGCATCACGGAACCAGCTGCCTCACTGGCTGCTGCTGCGGACTCCAACCTCAGACCACCAGAGCCACCTTCCGCCTCCGGGAGCACGGAATTCCACGCCTCGTCCCACCCTTTCTGCCACGTGTTTATGCTAATATAATTTATTTTTGTGATTGAAAGTCATTTTCATTAATGCTTTCTCATAAATATCTAACAAAAATTATATGTACTAAATTGAATTTTTAAAAAATTCCTATGATAAAGTCAGACTCTCAGGAAAATGTTTGGTTTTTTTTTTTAAGATTTTATTTATTTATTTTTAGAGAGGGAAGGGAGGGAGAGAGAGAAAGAGAAAAAAAAATATCAATGTGCGGTTGCTGGGAGTCATGGCCTGCAACCTAGGCATGTACCCTGACTGGGAATCGAACCTGCGACACTTCGGTTTGCAGCCCACGCTCAATCCACTGAGCTACGCAGGAAAATGTTTTAAAAAATAAAACATCTCCACTGTTATTAATTGGTACATAAGTGGCCAAAACAGAAGTATATTACACATTTTGACAGCAAACTGTCAAACATAAAAACTAAACTTTTACTGAAAATGCACCTGAGTGGGACAGTTCACGTACGGCGACCACTGATAAAATTAGACTGGGTTTGCCTTCAAACGTGCCTCTCGTGTTCTCTTTTGTGCAGAAGCGCCAGCCCGAGAAGACAGAGGCAGAGGTTTGTTTCAGGCAGGTGTCTCTCTGCACTTTGAAATGTTGGCATGATGCCAAACCCATAAGCTAAATGTATCTGTCAGCAAAAATTACTTTTAAAAAGATTTAATTCTTTTATTAAATCTTTAATAAAGACTTAATTCCATTAAGTCCTCCTTCCATGTAGCTGAAACGGAAGAACTGGAAAGCAGCCACCTCGCCAGCTCAATACTCCCTCTGGCCCCTCTCATGGCCTTCGCCCCAGGGCAGCCTGTCCAGCAGCACCAGGGCCAGCAAGCAGTGCCCGGCCTGCACCAGGAGTCATCGTGCAGCACTTGTCGGGCAGGAGGATGTTTCGGACTAAAAAACCAGTTTTAGCACACTAGGAAGGCAGGCCTGCGGCTGTGCCCCCAGGAGTCTGCCTCTGCACCGGGCGCATGCTCAGCCCAGGGGGGAGAGCATGGAAGCTCTGAGGAGCACCACAAAACCCTATCAGTATCCTGCCTGGAAATACTGTCTGCCCTGTGGCACCGGGCTAGGAGTGACTCCTGTGGCACTCACCATCGGCCACAGCAGACACCTCATCCTGCAGCGCGAGGATCAGCTTGGCCTCCCGAGTGAGGTACTGGCAGCGGCGCTCCTCGTGCTGCAGCACGGTGGCGATCCGTCGGGAGAGGTTGTGCAGGCAGTTGATCACCGAGGGGTCTGCATTGGCCTGTGGGAGAGGCCACACACCACTCAAACGCAACGTCCGTTCTCAGATGGTACAAATACAAAGCAAAAACTCAAACCCGAAAAGAGCCCTTCTCTACGCCCTTTGCCCAGGCCCCTCTCCAGGTGCCACTGCTGTGTCCAACTGTCTGCTCTAGGGGCCATCCACAAACACCAGTCCACTCAGCATCCTATCTTAGGGGTCACTGCCTGAATGGCAGCACACAGATGGCTCTGTGGGGTCACCCAGTGTTGGGGTGGGGGGTCAGTCATTTGCAACAAGCACAGAAAGGCTCCCACGTGCATGGCACCACACCCAGGCTGTCCAGGAAGGAGGGCACAGATCAGGCATCCACTCTGAGCCTGGCAGAGGCAGCCAGAGGGGCAGTGGAAAGTATACATCTCTCTACCCACTCACTCTGTGACCCTGGGTCACAGGTCCCCATTTGAGAAAGGACAACAGTGGCACCTCCCTCAGCAATCAGTCAGAAATGTCAAGTGCTCAAAGGAGATGCCACCCAGAGCCGAGAACCCTGGCAGCATCTGCAGTCACCAGCTCACTGCTGTGGGCTCCCGGACTGGACCAGCCATGTGTGCATTCAGTCACACAGCCCATTACAACAGGGGTGCACGGCATAGAAAACAGAAACACAGAGCTGACTGTTCACTGAACATTTTCTGTCCTCGAGGTTAAGTAGCTCTTTTCAGCAGAAATGACCCTGGCTAACAAGAGAGGGCAGCAGGCTCCAGCCACTCCCCTCCCCCTGAGCTCCCTCCACACCCCTGAGTTAACTCTGAAACTATCAGGGGCCCCAGTCCCACTAGGCCAAGGGTGGAGTAAGTGGCTGTGGGGTCTGTGAAGATGCTCTTTGGAGCAGATAACAGGCCAGCCATGACTCAGGGTTTCGGGAGCCCACAGGGCAGCTGAGTCATCCTATGGGTCAGAGGTGGAGAAAGGAAGAGGGACGAATGGTGCCTCTGATTAGAACCTCTGGTGCTGCCTCCCTCTGGGTTTATCTGTCAGACAGGGCCCTGCCTACAAAGTGTCCATAGTAAACACTTTCATCCCCTGGAGTTGGAGAGATTTTCTAAACTCCTAGCAGACTTCATGGTCACAAACAGAGCTTACACCCGGCAGCTCCCTGTGCTGGGGAGAGAAACCAAGGTTGCTCCCATGCCATGCCCACCCCTGGGCAGCAAGCCTGCCCCCTCACAGCAAGGGCATCCCCTAACCAGTGTCACATGCAACACTACAAAACTGTAGGACCTGGGTCATAGGGAGCATGCCATTGCCTCAAGACAAACACACTTTTAGAAGAATCTGTGTAAAAACACTCCCACGGCAAAGCAGAGGTAGGAGAATGATCCTGGGCACACGATCATTCCCTTGAAGAAGTAATCAAGTCACACCTGAGAACCCAACCCTCTGCTAGAGGTCCCACTGGCTGGGGCACGACAGTGGTGTCAGATGCTCAGGGCCTGTGTGTCCCAGATTCCCAGGCATGCAAGGTGGTGCTTATGCAGGTGAGGCCCAGTGACCAGCACTAACGGAGTGTGCCAGGGTGTACTGTCTGGCCGCACAGGCCAGGCACTATTCAAGGTGCCCGCAGAGCCTGAGGCTGTGGTAGCCACACTGAGAGCTACCACTAGGACAAGTCAGCCCTCAGAGGGAGCTCTTAGAAATGCCACACTTTCTCCACATGTGATGTGCGGCAGCATGAAGTTTATGGCATCACCTGTGAGACTTTCTTGTCCCCAAAATTTTTATCCAAGTACAGTCAGGCCATCAAAGCGAACACCCAGTTTACAGAAACACAGGGACAGACAGCACGTCTGAGAGTCTGCACTGTGAGATGAGCCCACACATGGAGCATCTGACAGCACAACGGGTGGGGAGAGTCCTGGACTGGCAGGGATCTGGACACGCAGCCCTGCATGCTTGTGGGGGCTGCTTTCACCCGGGGGGCAGACGGACCAACCGGAGGACTGCTGTGGCAACTGGGGGGGTTCCAGTGGACCGTGTGCTAGTTGATGTCAGTGTATGGTGAATTTCCTCAGGTGTGAAAAGGGTATTCTGGCATAAAATAAATGTCTGTATTTTTACAGCAGTGCCTTCTGAAGTATGTAAGAATGGGCAGACGTGAGGTCTTAGGCTTGTCTTGAAATACTGAAGCAACAAGGCTGGGGGTGGGGTAGCTAGGATGTAAAGGCAGTAAGACAGTTACTAGATCTCAGAGACAGGTATAGAGGTTTATCAAACTACTCAAAATTTTAAAAAGCACGCATTTCTATATGGCTACTAAAGAGGAAAAAAGCTTGTCTACCCTAAAATACCAGCCCTTCACACTACCTGAAATTCCTCCCACTTTCTAACTCGAAGACCCATGCTCTCTAAGTCCTCCCCGGCCCTGTCCCCTGCTGCTTCCTCCTGGCAGTGACCTCGCCCCTAGTGGCCTGCAGACAGGCCAGTGAACAACCCCCACAACCTTTCCCAATCACTCCTCAACTACTGGATACCAGAATTATTTCCAACCTGCCTGTTATTATAAAAATCTTTACACAACTTTAAAATATGCTTGTTTTCTTGGCCGCTGCATAGCCTGCTATCACACGGGCCCCAGAGACGAGGGCCTGCCTGCAACGCCTGGGGTGGGGCCGTGGCGGCTTCTCACTGCCCACCCCACAGGGGCTATCGGTGCCGACAGGCAATGAGCGTTCATCATGGCTTTTGCTTGCTCATTTTTTTTTGCTTAATTTGAGTTCGCTTTGCGGATTATGGCCTATAGCAGAGGCAACACATGACTTTTATATTATGTAATTACATAAGTAATCCAAAAATGCTGTGAAGATGCAAACACTACGAAAGTGTATAAAATAGAAAGTAAAGATCTTTTGGAACCTCATGCCCCCACCACTAACAGATCATTTTGTTCTAACTTGTAGTTTCTTATTCTTCAACAAGTTCCAGTTTGAAAAATTAAGCTCCATTCTAACAGAGATTTTCTCTAGCACCATTTTGATTTTGAACCATTGACAGTGAAACCTGTAGTCTCCACAAAAAAGGCCACCATGGAAAAAAAACACCTGAGACTTAGAATGGCGTCTAATTTTATAGGTTCCCTTTCTACTCAGTCTCATTTCTGCCACTTGGAAGGTTTTCAGAGCACACCCTGTTCCCTGTCACTGAAATCCAGGCACTGTCTCACTCATATTTCTGCACAAAAGCCATCAAGCAGATCAGGTGCCTGGCCAGAAAGAACTACTGGGTTCTGCAGTGGAAAAGGGGACTGGGGTATTTTGGAGGAATGCCATTACTCACCAGTCACTGAGTATATACTAGGTATTCCCAAGTCCCTTCATCATAGAAGCCAGTCCTTACCCAGGGGTGCTTTTTATGTTTATTTGGATCCCTCATATTTTAACAGCTTTACTGAAAAGGAATTTCCTGTCACTAGTAAAAACACAACTTCGGACAGAACTGAGAACCATTTAAGAATGATAAGGCTTAATTATTTAAAAAATAAAAAATCGTAAGTGCAGTGAAAATGCGGAGAAACTGGGGCCCTCGCACAGTGCTGGTGGGGACGTACAAGATGCAGCCGCTGTGGAGAGCAGTCTGGCGGTTCCTCGGACGCAGACACAGAGGTACCGTGTGGCCCAGCAATCCCACTCCTGGATGTATGCCCATGGGAAAAGAAAGCACGTGTCCATACAAAACTCTGTACACAGACGTCTTTAATCAGCTTACCAGTAACCCACAACTTCAGACCAACCCACAGATGTCTCTAACAGCGCTGTTCGTAAGAAACACGAGGTGAAAAACACCCCAGTGTTCATCAGCAGGTGAAGGGATAAACAAAGTGTGGCCCACCCATACAATGCAGTACAATTTGACCATAAAAAGGAATCAAGTACAGACACCCACAGCAAGGGACAATCTCAGGATCGCTGCGCTCAGTGCAAGAGGCCAGACACCAAGGCCACATCCTGTAGGTTCCCACTCATATAAAACATGCAGAACAGGTAAACACACAGACCGAAAGCAGACTGGTAGTTACTAGGGGCTGGCAGGGGGCGGAGGAGAAAAAGGAAAATTACTGGTCTCCTTTCAGGACAGTGAAAATGTTCTGAAACCTAAATAATGGTGATGGTTACACACCAGTATTACTAGATGCCACCAAACTGCACAATTTAAAGGGGCTAAATCAGTAAATTGTATGTGTATTTTATTTAAAAAAAAAGAGAGAGCTGCTGCCTGTGGACCCTCCTCCCTCACCGGCCTGCGCTCCTCAGCCCTTCGCACGCACTCACCCTCAGAGCAAACACCACATTGAAAAGAATCATGGTGGGAGCTTCCCTCTTCGGGGACGGATCTGTTTTGGAGACCTGTGAAAAAGGAATAATTTTTGTTTATTTTTTAAGGCAATTTATTTAAATAATACTGACTTTTGAAATTTTTGGAAAAATAATTCAATCTCATTAAGTATTTATATAAAAAAAACATTTGCAGTTCTAGTAATAAATTTTCATCAAAATGCCAATGTAGAAATTGGCAACTTAATTTCATCCATGTTATATTTAGACAAGCGGTTTTCAAACTTTGGTCTTAAGACTCCTTAAAGCTACTAAAAATTGTCGAACCTCTGTTTATGCGAGTTACTTCTGAGAGGCATAATTCTAATGAATTAGAGCCACCACTTCCCAAGAAGAGCTGTTTAAGGCTGTTCTACTTTGGGCATGGGAAAAGGTTCCAGAATATAGCAGAACCAGGAGAAAACAGAGCTCGAGGGTGATCGGCGCCTTTGCATGGGCTAGTTAGTGGTGGCTGCAAGGACAAGTGTGTCACCACTGAGATAAGAATAGGAAGGTGAGTGCTGCGACTGAGTGACAATGCTGGGGCTCAAGCAGATGGAGCGTTCTCTGCCCAGACCTCCCCCCACTGCCATCCCCAGTGTCCATCTGAGCTCTCCAGGCTGCCTCCATCTGTTATGACAAGGGATGGTTAAGAGGCAGGACAATGCTCAGAGCCAGCAAAGAGGCAGGGCTGCCACTCTGGCATCCAGCCAACCCCGGTCACAAACACCAAGTTGATTACGAATGTTTCCACCAGGGGGCATAAGAGGCCAGGGCCCCAGCTCTCCCTGGGCCTCCCAACTGGCTCATCACCATCCTGTCACTCCAGTTTTGTAGATCTACGACTGCTGGCAGGCCACCAAATCTCCCCTCCATCACCCATAGGCCACAATTAGGGACTAATCCCACCAGCTGGGGTTTCAGGGAGCGGGGAGGGTGCTGTCTGTGTGGTGAGGTGCACCCAGCCACGGCTCATGTTTTGGCACCTCCAAACCCCTCAAAACCTCCTTCCATGGAGTTAGTCATGGAGAGGATGGAGGACCGCATCACAGACCCTCAGATTTCTGGATCATATACAAATGGAGCTAAATCTTATACTGTCCTATCAAAACCCTTTAGAATCTGAGTGATGCGGTTACTGATTCTGGCCGTGTGCAAAGGACTGACTGGCAGGTTCTGGTGTGCAAATTCCCTTGGGTCAGGGTGCATTCAATCTTGTTAAAAATCCCCAGGACTGTAACATTTCATTCATCAAAGAATGCATATAAAGGATCTAGCACAAAAGTAAGAGCTAAATTAATGATAATGTTGGCTATGATTTCACTTAATAAATAAGAAATGCTGTACCACTATACAAAAGCTAGGGGCAGGGACAGAAATTCTAGGGGCAAGGATGCCCATCTCCTTCTCCGAGGGACCCACCCTCAGGGCCTATGTGGACGTGCCGCTGATGGCAAGCAGCTGACCAGGCCTGCCGCATACTGGCTGCCTTCACCCGAGCCAGCGTCAGCCACCGTTCCCTGCGGGCCGCACGCCATGACAGAGTGGGCCAGCCTGCCCAGGGAGAGCCTCATCTGCTCAGGGTGGCCCTTACCTGCCCCAGTGCATGCTGCAGGAGTGTCGGGTGCCCAACAAAACGCACATTATCAATCTTCAGTTCAAATTTTTGGCCACACATTTCAGACTTGGTTGCCAAAATTGTTGCCAGGATGACATCTGAGAACCTTAAAATGAAAAAGAGGTAGAATGGAAATAAGTGAACAGTGCCGCAGTCCCACACCTGCTGCCCTCAGAGAGGAAGAGTCTCAGTATATTGCAGCCTTGTGCGCAGAGTGGCTTGACCCCCACTGATGACCTGGGAGCTTCTGTCAGTTGCCTTTTGAAGCAAATGCCAAGATTTGGACATCAAATCACCAAAATTACAAGGTAAAAGGCATGAGAAGCATAGACTGAAGGCACATGCTGTCAATTTTTTGGCATGCTCTATGAAATTCAGGAGAGAAACAAGTTGCAGTTTGCTTTTAAAGGGAGAACAACAGCTGAAGCTGGCACTACCCTGAGGAGCTGCTCCTAAGGCTCACAGGTGGGGGGCTCTACCTCCAGGCCCAGGTTTAGCAGGCTGCACCCTCCACTCCAGGAACCCCAACCCCTCAGTGCTATGTAGAGGGCACGGGCACAGCACTAGCTGCAGCGTGCTCATTACCTTCCTCAGCACAGCAGCATGGCCCTTCCCTTAGCCTGAGCACCTGCACCTTCCAGTTTTTATTAGGGAGGAAACCTTTTTATTTTTATTTTTGAATCTATATGGGAGCTTTACTCAGATAGCTGGCGATCTCAGAAGACCTTGGGTTCATACCCTAACAGACTGTCTAAATTTCCATTTTAAAATGGCCCTTTTTATAAGGAGAACAAAGTGTAGGTAAGGGGCTTGGAATTCAGCAAAAAGTTATTGGATTAAAAAACTGCAGTATTCTCACCCTGGGCAGTGGTCTCTATCTGTGTCCTGGGAAGGAAACTTTTTAAGATACAGAAGATATGCAGACCCACTGGTATGACTGAACAAAGGATGCACGGGACTGGATGCCACACAAAAATAGGAATGCCTATGGTGTGAGAGTGGATTTGGATACATATTTACCCCTTTGCAAGAAGCACCTGTACACTTATGTTTTCTTACTGGCACCACTGCTCCTTCCTGCCCTGGGACGCAGGGGGTGGCGGCGGGGCAGTGGGTGGGGGGGTCGTCTGGATAAGGGAGGGTCACCACAGGGAGGAGTGCTGGGGGTGAAGTGCAGACTCTTATCTCAGAGCCCAGGCTTGGCGGGTGCCTCCAATTTAGAAACACTGATGTACTGTGTCTGAGCTGCAACCAGAAGAGAGACAAGTCCTGTGCTCATCTCTCCACCTAGGGAAAGCATTTCTAGCATCCAGTCTGGGAGGACACACTGTACTGGGGGAAGTAGCTCCAGTTCCCCCAGGGCCATGTTCTGCCCTGGCCAGAGAGACCCCAACAGTCCTAGAGGCCATCGAGGACAGAGTTCCAGTGTGCATCCTGGGCCTTTGCTGAGGAGCTTACAGTGTATCACCATACCAGATGCTTTTCTCCTGAAGGGCCTCATGTGGGAGAGGGGAGCAACTAACACCATATCTCTCCATTTTCTGAAGAAAAAAAGTGGTCTGCCATAAACTGCTGCCTCAGCTCAACCCTAAAGTAAAATAACAAATGACTCGGATAAAAGGATCTAGGAAGGGGGCCATTTGCCCTGGGCTCCTTAAACAGGCAGGGCTCATGGCCTAATGTAGGAGGGACCCGGAGCCAGCCGGCAGCAAGAGCCCTGATGACCAACCAGCACTCAGACAAACTGCCAGACAAGGAGCTAAGGGACTCTTTCCCACAGATGGCAAGGGAGCCTAGAACTGCTAAGACCTTGGGGAGGGAGGGCATCACACTGGTTTCCAGCCTTCCCCAGGACTGACATGGTCCTCCAGGCCTCCTACGTTGCCCTGAGGCCCCAGACAAACCGGATGCAGAGGGTTTGCCTCTTGCACAGTCAGCACTGCGCTCAGCCCTTTCCATAGCCAGGCTGTCGGAGATACCACGCAAGTCCTCAGCCACCCATCTTGGGGCTCTCTTCCCTGGAATACTGCTCTCTGGAGTGATTTAAACCAGAGACTGAAGATTCCAGTGTCTTAGAGCAGAGGCATTAATTATATGCTTTCTTCAAAAACTAAATGGCTCACTCTACCCTATATAACTCCTGTCTGAGGGACACAGTGATGGTGAGCAAGAGCTCAGGGCAATGAACCCAAACACACACACTTCTGCCCTAATGACTGATCCAGTGCCAACATTTCGCATCTTATCTGAACAAAGAGCCCCTCCACTCTGCCAGCCAAGGACTCCAGGACACAGAGATAAGGTATAGAAAACAACTTCCCACTACTCCAGAGAGTTCACCTTTTCCTGTGATATCTAAATACCGCTATTAAAAAACTCTGCTCTGTCATCAAGACCCACAGAAGAGCCTCAGCCCTGGCCCTCAGCCACCAGTCCAAAAACCTAAGTCAGTCTGGCTGTGGGATGGGCCCTGAGATTCAGGGGCAAGCAGTGCTGGTATAGTGAATATCTATAAATATTCAAATCCAAAAAAACCCTTCCAAGAGCCAAAGAAGAAGTGCTTCCCCACCAGACCAGAAAGGCCAGGACCTACAGAAGGAGCCAACTGCAAAACCATGTGCTGCTGTAGTGAAAAGCCACATTGCCCTCTGTTCAGGGAGGGCCTTCCAGGGCTGCCAGCAAGATAGTAAGTCTGGCACACATAGAAATCCACTCACCACTGCAATATTAACACTTATGAAGAAAAAAACACTTGGTGCCCTGGCTAGTGTGGCTCAGTGGATTGAGTGCCAGCCTGTGAACCAAAAGGTCTCAGGTTCGATTCCCAGTCAGGGCACATGCCTGGGTTGTGGGCCAGTCCCCAGTTGGGGGGGCATGCAAGAGGCAGTTGATCAGTGTTTCTATTGCACATCGATGTTTCCCTCTCTTTCTCCCTCCCTTCCCCTCTCTCTAAAAATAAATAAATAAATAAAATCTTTTTTTTTTTAAGAAAGAAAAAACAGTTGAGTGGCCTTACCCTTTATATAGTTGTCTGCTGACGTAACATACACAAAGGTACAGAGTTATATCATGAGATTTGGGAGTTAGGAGACATAACTGTTATAAATAGCAAACTGAAACAAACATAAATGACAATATTTGTATGCTGTTTTCCAAAATTTACAAAAATCCTTTTCTCTTGTTTTGATGGTAAAAGTCCTGGCAAATATATTGCACACAATAAAACATCTGTTAGGGAAAACTGACATTCCTGGAATAACTTAGAGATTAAACACATACACATTTAGGAGGATGAACCAGCCCCACTGGAAAACAGGCCAAGACCTTCCCTTCCTTCTGAAATATCAGGGGGCAGGGCTTGCTCTCCGGCTTGGCTAAAAAAGGGGCAGAAGGGCAGCATGGAAAGGAGCTCAACTTTGCCCCCTCCCATTACAGGGGGCGCAAAGATGCTCTGTGTACCTTCAGTGCCAAGGAGATGCCGTTGTCAAGGAGACAGGAGGGTCCCACTTATTCATGCCCCCCTGGAGAAGTGCCATATAAACTCCACGGGTACATTTTTGCCTCTAAAGGGCACACACAACAGCATCTAAGCTCAAGCATTACATTTAACACCCAGCCCTTGGGGGAGGCCCCCCACTAAACCCCTCTGAGAAATGAAGGCAAGGAGCAATAATCAAGGATCTCTCTAGAGGGCCAGTGAGCTAGGGAGATAAGAAACCCTGCTCCTACCACCCTCACAGGGCCAGTGGTGCCTGCCTAGAGGAGGAGGTCTGAGTGCACGCCTGGTCCCTGAAGTCTTCCTGGTGCCAGCCAACCTTGCCTAGGCCTCTTGGGTAACATGAAATAGCTAAAGAACTCCACATGGAGAACGGGCAGGGGCTGTGGGAAGCCTAGGCACTCGTGAGGGATTGGGGCAGTGCAGTCGGAGCGAGAGCCTGTGTGCCTCATTAGTCATTCTTCAACATTGAGGGAAATCAGGAGTTAAGCACAATTACAAGGAGAGAAGGCAGCAGGAATCAAGACAGAAAGACGGTGGAGAAGTCTTGGTCTTACCCTGCAACCAATTGCTCATCGGTTGGAGGACATGGCTCGCTGAAATGGGAACAGGACCATCAAGACCAAACAAAAACACATTGATTTTTAAAACCATGAAAATTTATAGTAGTTTCTTACAACAACATTAAAGTCTAGCAGAAGTACCACCATTAAGCATTAACTGTTGAGGTCAAGGCTATGCAACTTACCAGACAACAAAGGATACAGACACTCCCCGAGTTGAAGGCTTACCACACAGTTTTCTCACTAAAGCTCAAATTGTCTCCCATAAACATAGACTGGGCAAGAGTGAGAGCCCGTTTCCAGAAGCAGGAGCAAGGCTGGAAGACCTGGGCCAGAGCCTAGCCCCATATAGATTGGCTAAATGCCTAAGCACAAGAATTTAATCTCACAAACCATCTCAAAAGGACCAAATAAGATCCCACAGGTAAAAAGTCTTATGAAAACTGCAAAATGCCACAAGCACCTCAGCCCCAACTCTTGAGGTGCTGTGACTGCACAGCTGATCTCACTAAGTTATTCCAGAACGGGGCTGTGGCAAGGCTCCGGTTCTATAAATATATAAGTCATGATATGTATTTATGGCATATATTTATGTTGGAAAATGTCTGAGACATCTGCACTATCCAACCGGAGCTTTTTTAGAAAGTATATTTAAAAGTTAAAGTTCCCCTACAGAGGTCTGTGTCCTGGGATACGCTGCTTTCCGAGTTTCCTGGAAAGAGAAGGCAGGCCTGGGCCCCCAGGGCAGACAGCCTTGGAGTGAAAGCCTGCCCGATGCCAGGCCATGCCCATCAGCCACCCCGCTGGGACTGCCGCTACCCACAGCTCTCACCAAGAAATAACACACATTGCCAAGGACCCACACAAGAGAAACACACAATGAAGAACCCTTTCCTTCAGCGGCCCCCATACGTTAACTCATCAGTTTGTACAGTGGTAAAGGGGTCAGACATGTTGTGGACTTTCCCAGGAAATCAGAATCTGAAGAAGCTTGAGTGGAACTCCTACAACTCTGTCTCCAACAACCAGACAGGGCATGGCAAGGTCCTAGTTCTCTACTCCCTTACGGGGGAGTGGTGGAGGCACAGTGAACCCCACAGGCATGTCTCACAGACTTGTACCTGCCCCTCTGAGGGACGCAGAGCCATCAGCGAGTACTCCCCGCTAGTGCGGATGCTCCCATGACATCTAGACCTGGGAGGGAGAGGCAAAGCTGCCTTGCCACCTGCAGGCCTCTTACTGAAGAGGCTCACCGTCTAAGGAACGTACCCAGGATCACATACCGTAGGACGCAGAGTGAGAATCAGAACCCTGAACCTGCGCTTGTCCCAGCACACTGCCCTGTAGGGACACGCCAATGTGGGCACCACCGTGGGCTCAGCTGGGCCAGGAAAAGGGAAGATACCCAAGCTTGGGGACAACACTGCTTGTTCACATTCTTGTGTCTTGACCTCAATTCCAGCAAGTAGGGGCATCTTACTAACATATCTCAACACACGTGCCACACAGGCAGAGCTGTCAAAGAGGCCCTGGTGGAGCACACGTGCGCAGGGCAGGGAGGACGTGTGCAGGGAGGGCATGCACTATGGCGCACCTGGCCAAGGCCCCCTCCAGCCTAGGGCACAACTGTGCCTAAACGTGCACCCACTGCTTCCAGAAAGGTAGCCAAGTCTGAGAAGGTCAGCAGAGCCGCCTGGTTCCAGCGCCCCACAATGCCAACAGAGAAATAAAGGGTAGAGACGGAAACCTTCCACAGCTATGGGAAAGTCTTCTGGGTGACGTTTAACGTAAAACAATTTCAGAGTGTTTTGAAATGGAGCCAACTCCTCTCCCAGCCCCCAGCATCTCCTTCTCTGAGGCAGTAGCCAGAATACTGCTTGAAATACGGAGAGGAAGCCAGAAATGGCCTTCCACATCCAGACGGATCGTGCCCACAACAGCCTTTCTGATGAAAACCAGGCTTCCTCGCACACCTCTCCTCATGGCTTTGTCTCTGCCAGGGCGGGTGACTACCCAGAGACGGAATCAGGCATGACAACCTGGGCCCTAATGCCCAAAAAGGAAGCCTTGAATTCCAAGCCTCAGAGACAATAGACAGTATCTACTTTCTTCTCTCTCTTCTGAATCCTAGTAAGCTTTTAAAAAGTGACAGTTAATTTTTATACCCTGAAACACATCATCTCGATGACACACTGTATTATAAAACCAGCCTACTCTCTAAGCCAGTGCTGTCCAACAGAACTTTCTACAGTGACAGAAATATTCCAAATCTACACCATTCAATATACTAGCCACTGAGCACCTGAAATGTGGTGAGTGTAACTGAGGAAATAAACTTTCCATTTCATTTAATTTCAGTTCATTTCTACTTAAATGGCCACAGTGGCTGGAGACCGTGACCCTGGGCAGCACAGCTCTGCGCCCTCAGCTATCTAAGGCGGGCCACTGCCACATGGCCTGTAACCCTGCTTCAGTATGGCGAACTGAAGAGCGGGAACATTCCACTGGTTCCAGAAGAAGAGCGCCTTTGAGAACAACGAAGGAAAACAGGAAACGGGTATGAGGCACCCTCACCGCAGGACACCAGGAGGATGCCTCAGATGTGACAGGACTCCCCCAGGTACCAGGGGCAGAGCAGCAGCTGGGAAGGCCTATGTGACAAAATAAAGCTGGGGCCCTAAGGGTATTAACATGTATCTCTGAACGTGTGGGGAGTGGGATCACCAGATGCTATCACTTGCTAACATCACCAAAAGACATTACCTTGTATTGTAAGCTCCTGGGAATTAGCTGCAGGAATTTCATGCTCCTGGCCCTCTACACAGACCAAGAGCTCTTTCTGAGTCTTCACGTCCTGAGCCTGCACCTGCACCTGCACCTCACAGCCGTGGAGCTTGAGAGAAGAACAGCAGGCAGCTGGCCAGCCCTGCTCTAAAGTAGTCTGTAGCACAGGGAGAGGACAAAATGCACCCACCCCGTGTGCAAGGGCAGAAAGTTTTCTGTGTGCCTGTAATAAGAGTTTGTTCAAGTTCCAACTTTAAAGGACAAGACAACCACAGGCCTCAGCGTCATACAGAAGGACCCATGGAATGTCCAACACCCTCCCACACTCTATCCCCCTCCTGCTGGTCCCTCTTCCAAAGTCCACTCCTTCAGAGACTGTCACTGGTCACTCGGAGGCCCCTGACATGCTCACACACACAAAAATAAAAACCACACCCTTGGAACTGCACAACACTGTGGCAGCTGCGGTGCCCTGTCAGAGATCTGAGGGAGGCTGCACTGGCAGCATGCACGGCAAAGGCCCAGTGTGGGGAGTTCAGCCACTTTCCCACGGACTGCAGGGGCTAAGTCCTTTCGCTCACAAACACCCCAGCTATGTTAGGGGAACCAATTTACAATTTTTCCTCCCTCACCTGGGCCTGTGTTACCATTTACTAAGCTTTAAAATAAACATAAGAAGGGAGAAGTGGGCATTTCTCATGTTTGCATGACACCCCTTCCCACAGAGAATGAACGGGGGGGGCATACACAGAAAGGAATAAGACCCACTTTTCATCTGCACTGCAAACGAGCAAGGGTCAGATCAGCCTGACTCTCAGCCCGTATCCCCCCCTGTACAGACTGTACCATATCCAAGCACCTACATCTAACCTCTGGGCACCCGCTTGAGGAGTAAGGTCTGAAGACAGTGCTGGGGTTTGCTGTCCTCCATGTTCCTCTCATACATAGGAGGTAAACGTCCTACAGAAACATGGCCTCAGACGTTCTCCAGCCTTCTTTACCAACCACGAAGCCCACAGCTGGAACACGTGGCCGAATGATGCAGCAAGCCAGAGACTGGCAAAACCACCCCAGCCCTGCACTACCCAAAATGCCCACCAAATGAGAAAAAGAGACCACCAGGCTTCTCAGGGGAAACGTCCAGGCCCACAGGAGGCAGGGCCTTGCCCAGGCCTGGGGCAGGACCGGCGCCACCACAGTGACGTCGGAGGCCTTACCTGGAGTCCCCATCCTGATCCTCGGCATTGTCCCTGGTGTTGTTCACAGCGTATCTGCTACGGGGCTTATCTGAGTGAGAGCAAAAAGGAGACAACAGCTAAGAAACCGGGGTCCATCCACATACAGAGGACTGCGGAATCAGTAAAAGTGCTGGCTTTAAAGTGAGGTACATACACACGATGGACTATTAATCCGCCATAAATAAGAACAAAGCTCTGAGACAGGCTACTACATAGACAAACTTACAAACACTATGCTAAGAAAAAGAAACTGGACACAAAAGGACCAATATTGCACTAATATAAAATATCTACAGAAGGCAAATTCAGAGACAGAAAGTAGATTAAAGGTGACCAGAGGCTGAGGGCAGGAGAAATGGAGAAGTCAACTGCCTGGTTACAAACTTCAGTTTGGGGTCTTTAAAATTTTTGGAAATGGTCCTAATTATATAACATGGTAAATTAATTATGGTGAATATGATTAATGCCACCCAACTGTACATTTAAAAATGGTTAAAATGGCACGCTGGCCAGGTGGCTCAGCTGGTTGGAACATCGCTCCATACACCAGAAGGATGCAGGTTCAATCCCCAGTCAGGACACGTACAGGAGGCAACCAATAGATGTTTCTCTCTCCCTTTCTCTCTCCCCTTCTCCCTTCCCCCCTCTTTAAAATTAATGGATATATTAATCCATTTAAAAATTCATTAAAATGGCAAATTTTATTTTTTTTACCATAATAAAATATTTTTCAAAAAAAATGTGGCTTCCAATAAGTTATGGTAACATAGGAAATGCTTTTGCTACTATTAAGCTAGAAAAAATACACACACACACACACACACACACACACAGATACACATACATCCTCTTAGTGTATGATGTCAACTAGGTTAGAAAAAGCACAGATTAAAAAAAAATTTTTATTAAAAATTTTTTTTAAAGATTTTACTTATTTTTAGAGAGAGGGGAAGGAAGGGAGAGAGAGAAACATCAATACATGGTTGCCTCTCGTGTGCCCCCTACTGGGGACCTGGCCTGCAACCCAGGCATGTGCCCTGACTGGGAACTGAACTTGCAACCTTTAGGTTCCCAGGCCAGTGCTCAATCCACTAAGCCACATCAGCCAGGGCAAAACAAAGAATTTTTAAATGCCCACATACCAGTAGTATCCTTCGTATACACAAATGAGAATACTTTACCAGACCTAAGGATGAACTTGACATGTTCGTCAAGAGCAGCTTCATCATGCACAAGAGGCCCATGAAGAAAACAGAAATGCCAATAAAGCAGATAAGAATGAATAAAAAACATACTATAATCCTGAATGGGAAGATTCCAAATGGGAAGATAAAGATACCCTTTCTTCCCCATTAATCAGCATGTTTAAAATGACCTCCAAAACTACATCAAAGCCTTGAGAGTGGGGTCTAACACAGTCAATACTAACATTTACAGGGAAAAGTAAGCAAGAACTTCCTTATAATGCTGAAAAATAAAAGTAACAATAGTGACTAATCCTGATGGTACATAACACAGTATAAAGTTACAATAATTCATCAGTGTGGAATCCACACACAAACATAGATTACTGGGAGAGAGAAGAAAGATAAAAAATGAACTCAAATAAACAGGTGAGTTTAGCATGTGAAAAGGTGGCAGAACTAATCAGTGAAAGCAAGGTGAATTATTCTAGGAAATGATGTTGGGACTAGGTAGTCACATGAAAGAGAAAATTACACTGGCCTCTCAATCCAACACTCCCCAGCTATGATGACCCATGTTCCCACGTCCTTCCTCACCTGCCACAGTGTCAACCCCGCAGGGCTCCAGCAGGCAAAAAGGAGGCGCGCACACATAGCTCTCAGCAAGTGCCCCCAAAGTAACACCTCCTGATAGGAGCCTTCACCTTACACCAAGATAAACATGTTTAAAAACAAGACAACAAACGTTTGACAGAAAAATATGAGACTATTGTTAATAATCCTGGGAAGGAGAGGCCCATCTGTGTATAACAAACTTAGAAACCACAAAAGAACAGATTAAAATCTTGACTGCATAAAAATCAAAACTCTATGTGGCAAGAATTCCATGCAAGCAAACTAGCTAAGTATGTACAGCTTTGTCACAGACAAAGGCCTATTTTTATCCTTAGCAAAGGACTCCTTCAAATATATAAGATAAAAAAAATCAAACAACCCAAGAAGAAATTAGGCAAAGGTCATTCACTAAAGAAGGACTTATAACAGGTCGTTCACTGAAAAGGAAATACAAATAGCTCTGAAAATAGGGAAACATGCTCACTCTCAATTCTAGACAAATGCACAGTAAAACTACTACCAGATAAATTTTTTTAAAGATTTTATTTATTTATTTTTATAGAGAGGGGAAGGGAGGGAGAGAAACATTGATGTGCGAGAAAAACATTGATCCACTGCCTCTCACACGCCCCCAACCAGGGACCTGGCCCACAGCCTAGGCATGTGCCCTGACGGGGAATCAAACCAGTGACCTTTCGGTCTGCTGGAGGACGCCCAACCCAGAGAACTACACCAGTCAGGGCAGACACAATTTTTTAAAAGATCTTATTTATTTTTAGAAACAGAGGAAGGGAGGGAGAAAGAGAGGGAGAGAAACATTGATGGGTTGTCTCTTGCTCATGCCCCAACCAGAAATCAGGCCCACAACCCAGGTGTGTTCCCTGACATTTTTATCGAACCGGCAACATTTTGCTTTGCAGGATGATACTCAAACAACTGAGCCACACTGGTCAGGGCCAGATAATTTTTCACCTATCTCTTTAACAAAGAAAAATCCAATCTATTAAAAATAACTATGTTCTCCCAGACAAGAAAAAGCTAAGAAGAAGAAAGGGAAGGGGAGAACACAAATATGGTTAATAAAATGACAACAACTAAGCACCCATCGATAATCACTTTAAATATGAATGGATTAAAAGCTCTAAACAAACGACAGGGTAGCTGAATGAATAAGAAAACAAGACCCATATGTACGCTGTCTACAAGAGCTACTTCAAATCTATAGACAAACACAGACTAAAAGTAAAGAGAGGGAAAAAGGAATTTCATGTAAATGGAAACAAAGAAAAAAAGCTGGGGTAGCAATACTTTTACCAGACAAAATAAACTTTAAAACAAAGGCTGCCCTGACTGGAGTGGTTAAGTGAGTTGGGCATCATCCTGAAAACAGAAAGGTCACTGGTTCCATTCCCAGTCAGAGCACAGGACTGGGTTGCAGACCAGGTTCCTGGTTGGGGGTATGTGAGAGGCAAACATTTCTCTTGAACATCAATGTTTCTATCCCTGTCTTTATCCCTCACTTCTCCTCTCTCTAAGAATAAATAAATAAATTTTTTTAATTAAAAAAAAATAAAACAAAGGCTATAACAGACAATGAAAAACATTTCATAATGATAAAGGGATTAACCCAACAAGAGGATATAACCCCTGTTTACATTTAAACAACCAACATAAAGCAAACATTACCAGACATAAAGAAAGAGATCAATAGTAATACAGTCATAAAATAGGACTCGAATGCCCCACTGACATCAATGAATAGATCTTCCAGACAGAAAATCAACAAGGAGCCCTGGCTGGCGTAGCTCAGTGGATTGAGCGCGGGCTGGGAACCAAAGTGTCCCAGGTTCAATTCCCAGCCAGGGTACATTCCTGGGTTGCAGGCCATAAACCCCAGCAACCGCACATCGATGTCTCTCTCTCTCTCTCTCTCTCTATCGCCCTCCCTTCCCTCTCTAAAAAATAAATAAATAAAATATTAGAAAATCAACAAGGAAACAGCAGCCTTAAACAACACATTAGACCAGGAGGACTTAATTGGTATTTTGAGAACACCTCACCTCAGAGCCACAGAGTATACATTCATTTCAAGTGAACATGGAACATCTTCCAGGATAGACCACATGTCATGCCACAAAACAAGTCTCAAGAAATTTAAGAAGAGTAAAATCATATCAAGGATCTTCTCCAATCACAATGGTATGAAACTAGAAATAATTACAAGAGAAAAAAACACACATACAAACACATGGAGGCTAAATAACATACTATGGGTTAAATAACAATGAATGGGTTTCATTGGGAGGCTAAATAACATACTATGGGCTAAATAACAATGAATGGGTTAACAATGAAATCAAGGGAAAAATCAGCTCTGTTTGGTGTGGCTCAGTGGATTGAGCACCAGCCTGAGAACCACAAAGTCACAGGTTCAATTCCCAGTCAGGGCACATGCCTGGGTTGTAGGCCAGGTCTCCAGTTGGGGGTGTGTGACAGGCAACAGATCCATGTATATTTCACGCACTCATGTTTCTCTCCCTCCTTTCCTCTCTCAATAAAAATAAATAAAATCTTTTTCAAAAAAGTTAGAAATCAAAAGATACTCTGAGACAAATGAAAATGAAAACACAACAACCCAAAATCTATGGAATACAGCAAAAGCAGTCTTAAGCGGGAAAATTCATAGCAATACAGGCCTACCTCAGGAAACAAGAAAAAATCTCAAATAAACAATCTGATCTTATACCTACAGGAACTACACACAAAGCCCAGAGTGAGTAGAATTAAGGAAACAATAAAGATCAGAGTGGCAATGAACAAAATATAGTCTAAAAAATACAAAAACATCAATGAAATCAAAAGCTGGTTCCTTAAAAAAAATTAATAAACCTTTAGCATACTCATCAAGAAAAAAAGAGGAAGAACCCAATTAAATAAAATTACAAGTGAAAGAAAAGGGACAACTGACACCATAGAAATATGCAAGATTATAAGAATACACTACAAGCCCTGGCTGGCGTAGCTCAGTGGACTGAGCGCAGGCTGCAAACCAGGCATCGCAGGTTCAATTCCCAGACAGGGCACATACCTAGGTTGCAGGCTATGACCCCCAGCAACCGCATATTGATGTCTCTCCCTCTCCCTCTCTCTCTCTCTCTCTCTCTCTCCCTTCCCTCTCTAAAAATGAATAAATAAATAAATTTTTTTAAAAAAGAATATACTACAAATAATTATATGCCAACAAACTGGACAATCTGTAAGAAATGGAAAAATTCCTAGAAACATACAATTTTCCAATATTAAATCAAGAAGAAACAGAAAATCTAAACAGAACAATTACTACTAATGAAATCAGATCAGTAATCAAAATACTCCCAAGAAACAAAAGTCCTGGACCAGGTGGCTTCACAGGTGGATTTACCAAACATTCAAAGAAGAATTAACACATATCCTTTTCAAACGTCATTCAAAAAATTTCAAGAAAAGGGTCCCAAGTTCATTCTGAGGCCAGCATTACCGTGAATTCAAAACCACACAAAGACATTACAAAGAAAGAAAATTATAGGCCAATATCCCTGATTGACATAGACAAAAAACTCCTAAAAAAATACTAACAAAGTGAATTCAGCCATCCATTAAAAAGACCATACACCCTGATCAAGTGGGACTCATTCCTGGGATGCAAACTTGGTTCAATATTCAGAAATCAATTAATGTGATAGAACACATAAACAAAATGAAGATGCAGAAAAAGAATCTGACAAAAGCAAAGCATCCACTTATGACAAAAGTCCTCAGCAAAGTGGGAATACAAGGAACATACCTCAACATAGCAAGTCCATATATGACAAGCCCACAGCTAACATTATACTGAATGGGGCAAAGGTATAAAAGTGTTTCCTTAAGATTATAAACAAGACAAAGATGTCCACTTTCACCACTTTTATTTCCATAATATTGGAAGTCCTGGCCACAGTAATCAGACGAGAAAAAGAAATAGAAAGCATCCAAGTTTAAAAGAAATAAAACTCATTATTTACAAATGGCATGGTACCATATATGCAGAACCCTAAAGATTCCACCAAAAACTCTTAGAACTGATAAATGAATTTAGAAAAACAGGATACAAATTAATATTCAGCAATAGGTTGCATTCTTATACACCAATAATGAATACCAGAAACATAAATTTAAAAACAATCCCATTTACAACTGCATCAAAAAAATTAAATACCTAGGAATAAATTTAACCAAGGAAGTAAAAGACTTGGAAAAATTATAAGACACTGAAGACAGAAATTAAAGATGATACAAATAAATGGAAGCATATACTATGCTCATGGATAGAAAGAATTAACATAATTAAAATGCTCACACTACCTAAAGCAATCTGTAAATTTAATGCAATCCATACAAAAATACCAATGGCATTTTTCACAGAAATAGAACAAATAATCCTAGAATTTATATGAAACCACAAAAGACCCCAAATAGCCACAGCAATCTTGAGAAAGGCAAACAAACTTGGAGGTATCACACCACCTGATTTCAAACTATACTACAAGGCTACAGTAATCAAAACAGCATGGTACTCAAATAAAAACAGACACATAGATCAATGGAATAAAACAGAGAGCCCAGAAATAAACTTACCCTTATGTGGTCAATTATTCCATGATAAAGGAGGCAAGAACATACAATGGGGTAAAAAGTCTCTTCAATAAATGACATTGGGGAAGTGGACAAATACATACCAAAAAAAAAAAAAAAAACACACTAGATCACCTTCTTAAACTCAAAATAGGTTGAAGACTTAAATGTAAGACCCCAAGCCATTAAACTCCTAGAAGAAAACATAGGCAGCAAACTCTTTCACACTGCTCTCAGTAATATTTTTAAAAATATATTTCCTCAGGCAAGGGAAAAAAATATATAAATGGGACACATCAAATTAAAAAGTTCTGCGCTGAAAATGAAACCATAACAAAATGCAAAGACAACCTATCATTTGGGAGCAGGTATTTGCCCATGGTACATCCGCTAAAGGGTTAATATCAAAAATTTTATAAAGAATTCATGTAATTTAACACCAGAAAAACAAACAATCCAATTAAGAAATGGGCAGAAGACCTGAATAGGCATTTCTCCAAAGAAACATACAGATTAGACATATGAAAGTATCAAAGTAATGCCAATTAAGTAACACAACAAGACATTACCTCACACCTGTCAGAATGGCTACCATCAATAAATCCAAAAACAAGTGGTGGTGAAAATGTGGAGGAAAGGGTACCCTCATGAACTGTTGGTGGGAATGCAAAATGGTGCAGCCACTGTAGAAAACAGTATAAAGTTTCCTCAAAAAATTAAAAACAGAACTACCTTATGACCCAGCAATTCCACTTTTGGGTATTTATCCAAAGAAATCCAAAGCACTAATTAAAAAAATATATATGCAGCATTATTTACAATAGCCAAGATATAAAAGAAACCTAAGTGCTCATCAATACATGATTGGATGAATATATGCATATATACAATGGAATATTACTCAGCCATAGACAAGAACGAAATCTTACCATTTGTGACCACATGAATGGACCTAGATGGTATTATGTTAAGTGAAATAAGTCAGACAGAGAAAAACAAATATATGATTTAACATATATGTGGAATCCAAAGAACAAAATAAACAAAACAGAAACAGACTCATAAATACAGAGAACTGATGACTACCAGATGGGAAGAGGCTGGGGAGCTGGATGAGAAAGGTAACGGGATTAAGATGTAAAATTGGCAGTTATAGTCATGGGGATGTAAAGTACAGCATAGGGACTACAGTCAATAATACTGTAGCCCTGACCAGTGTGGCTCAGTTGGTTGACCATCATCCCACAAAACAAAAGGTCACCGGTTGGATTCCTAGTCAGGGCACAGGCCTAGGCTGCAGGTTTGGTCCCCGGCTGGGGTGCATACAGGATGAAATTCTTCAATGTTTCTCTCTCACATCCATGTTTCTCTCCCTTTTTCCCTCCCTTCCCCCTCTCTAAAAATTTTTTTAAAATAATAATACTGTAATAATTATGTATGGTGCCAGACTTATCAGAGGGGTCACTTGATAAATTATACAAATATCTAACCATTTTGTTGTACACCTGAAACTAATTTTTAAAAAAGCAAAAAGAGCCTGGCTGGTGTAGCTCAGTGGATTGAGCACGGGCTGCGAGCCAAAGCATCGCAGGTTCGATTCCCAGTCAGGGCATATGCCTGGGTTGCGGCCAGGTTCCCCAGTGGGGGCCACATGAGGGACAACCACACATTGATGTTTCTCTCTCTCTCTTTCTCCCTCCCTTCCCGTCTCTAAAAATAAATAAATAAAATATTTTTTAAAAAGATTTTTTAAAAGCAAAAAAATAAAGGACAAATAAATATGCTCATTATCCCTTAGATCCAACCATCCCACTTCTGGGAATTAACCCTTTATCCAGCAAAATGATAATGTATACAGAAAGGACACTTTCACTGGTTATAGTAGCAAATGACTGGAAACAACTTAAATACCCATCAACAGAAGACTAGATAAATAAATCATAGTATGTTTATCCTATGATTCTGATCATAACTCTGAAACTACCTCCAAGATGTGAAGTGAAAATGAAAACAATACAGCAGAACAGTACATACAGTGTGTTCACTTGAGCTTAGAAAAAAAGTAAAATAATGCGTGCATGTGCTTGCATTTACATAGATTTCCATGCAGAGGAGGGACGATTACTAAAGCAGTAAGCAGTCATCCCTGAAACAGAGGAGCGCACCTGAGGGTAGGCAGTCAAAGGAAACTGCAAATGGGTCTTTAATTTCATATTTTTTCCAAGCTGAATACATTAATATGTCAAAAAATAACAATAAATGGAGGCATTTTAAAATGGAGCTGGAGCTGCCATCCCAGAGGAACGGCTTTCCATGTCTTTTGCCTCAAACCGTTGACATGTTAAAACAGGGTAAAATAACCTCTGCACTGGCTTAAGCAGCCTTGTGCCCCAAAGCAAGCAGGGACTATGACTACCCTATATCGAAGACTACTGGACTGAAAATTAAAAACATTGCTTAGAATTAACATCACTATGTTATCTGACCAATAGAATTGCCTTCCTTTCAGTGACATAAATTGTTCCCCTTCCTTTTCTCATAAACACCCAGGGCCTTTGTCTCTCAATCAGAACCCTATTTGGGACATCCCAAAGAGCTATTCTTACTGATCTTAAATAAGTGCTTGTTGCCTCTTACTTTGGCCTTCCACTGTTAGGTTAACACACGCAGTGCTTACGTATTTTTTCAAAAGACTGCAAACATGGATGAAATGTCTGCAATAGTGGCTTTGGCCTGTCGAATTGTAAGTGCTTTTTCTACTGCTTTTTACTTTTCTACACGTTTCAAATAGTACTCTATAAACAGCAGGCAGCGACTGTATGATCAGGAAAAGAAAAAAATAAATAAATATATAGGTCTTTAATTCAAACGTGGGAGGCGGTGAGGCAGGAGCCCCTACGGCTGGCTGCTCTGGCCCAGCCTCCAGGCTCACACTGGGAAGCGCCAGTCCCGCTCCCAGCGCTCACTTACTTGTCTGAGACGCCGGGTGCTCCTGGCTTCTCTGGAAGGGGTACCTGAATAGCAGTTTATTGCCCCTGCTCCCCGAGCTCACCAGGATCACGCTGATAGGGCTGGTGTTGTCCCCCATCCTATAGTGGGGCCGCGGGAGCGGAGGTGGAAGGTTGGGAGGGCTCTGAGAACGGGCCGGGGGTGAGGGGCTGCCTTAGGAAGATACGCCGAGGACTGGGGCGGGCCTGAGGACGACTGGACGGGGGTGTGGTGTTGGAGAGCTCCGAGGAGCCTGGGACCAGGTAAGTGGCAGAGCTTAAGGAAGACGCGCTCCGGTGTGGTGGGGCGGGAGGGGAAAGGGGACCTGACAAGGACGCGACCGAGGCCACGGAAACGCCCTGTACTGAGAGCCAGGCCCAGGGGAAGCCAACGCCACAGTCACCAAACCTGCGCACCACCTAGCACGTCCAACCCGACCCGCAAGATTTCCGCCACAGGCTAAGCAGAAGCGCAGTGAGTGCGTGCGCGCAGGCCGGGAAGCTAGCGCAGGCGCGAGCGGCGGTACGCGCGAGCGGCCGAGTGCGCAGGCCCCAGCCTCTCTCTGGGCAGCTGCGCCTGCGCGTGGAGCGGCCTGCTTCCTGCGGGAGGCGAGAGGAACCGCCCCTCAGCGTGAAAGGAAACGGGGCCGCGTCAGCCTTCGGGTTGCAGGCAGCTGACTGTAAAAGTTACATTCTTCATTGTAAAAGTAACAGTTGCTTTGGGCGGAACGGCCACACTTACAAAGTACTAAAAAAGTTTTTAAAAATCACTGCTGTGGATCACAGACCTAAATATAAGAGCTAACACTTATAAAAATTCTTACAAAAACAAACATGGGGGTATATTCGTCACATTGGACTGGGCAATGATTACTTAGAAATAACATCAAATGCACAAGTAACTAAAGTAAAACTTAACTGGGCTTTATCAAATAAACATTTTTGTGTTTCAAAGGACACCACCAAGAAAGTAAAAAATAGCCCACAGAAGGGGAGAGAATATTTACAAATTCATATATCTGATGAGGGATTGTATCCAGATTAATTTTTTAAACTCTTACAACTCAACAATAAAAAGACAAGTAACCAATTAAAAATATGTAAGGGAAGTGAGTTGATATTTCTCCAAGGGATATAGACAAATCGCCAATAAAAACTGGAAAAGATGCTCAATATCATTACTCATTAGGGTACTGCAAATCAAAACCAAAAAGAGATACCACATCTCCCCCGCTAGGATGGCTATAATAAAAAAGACAAAATAACAAGCTGGTGGAAGTGACAAAATGGCAAAGTGGCAAGGAGGTGGAGAAATTGGAATCTTTACACACTGCAGGGGTGGAGGTATGTAAAATGGTGCGGCTGCTGTGGAAAATAGCCTGGCAGTTTCTCAAAAGGTTAAATAAAGAGTTCTCAAACAACCAAACTATTCCATCCCTAGGTATATGCACAGAGAAATGAAAATGTAATTCCACACAAAAACTTGCATGTTCATAGCAACATTATTCATAATAGCCGAAAAGTGCAAACAAGCTGAATGTCTAACAATTGATGAGAGGGTGAATAACATTTGGTATAATCCATGCAAAGAAATAGTGTTCGATCATAAAAAGGAATGAAGCACTGACACATGAATGAACTTTGAAAAATGCATAGTGTATGATCTCATTTTTATAAATGTCCAGAATAGGCAAATCCGTAGAGACAGAAAACAAATTAGGTTGTCTAGGGCTCGTGCAATTGGAGGTATGTGACTGTTATGGGGTTTCTTCAGGGGTGATAAATGTTTGTGGTAATGGTTGCACAACTCTATGAATATACTAAAGCCACTTAATTGCCTACTCCCCCCCCCCCAAATCAATACACGGCTTTTACTGCATATTTAAAATATCACAAGTAAGCCCTGGCTGGTGTGGCTCAGTGGATTGCGCACTGGCCTGGGAACGGAAGAGCTGTCATGTGGATTCCCAGCCAGGTCGCATGCCTGGGTTGCGAGACTGGTTCCTAGTTGCGGGCATCACATAGATGTTTCTCTTCCTCTCTTTCTCCCTCCCTTCTCCTCTCTCTAAAAGTAAATAAAATCTCTTAGAAAATGAAAGTAAAATATAGCAAGTAAAGAGGAATCATCTGATGTCTTGCTGTTACTATAGCTGGACAACTTGCATCATATTCATCAGCCTGATGAATTGCTCCTTTTTCAGAAATGTAGACACCATCCAAAATGTTTCTGATATCCTTGTTTTTAACTGTTGTGGCTTGCTGAACAAAGCAGCTAAATTTGATAATTTTCAATTCAATGTCATTTCCTTCAAGAATTAACCAGTCTTTCTGGGCTTGAGATAACTGAATGAGCCACTCCTGAACTCATCCAGATACTCTGCAGATGTATTTTATGCCCAAGAAAATTCTGATTTCAGCAAGAGTGCCATTCTCCTGAGTTACGACGTAGATGGGGAGTGAGCATGCACAGGCCTATTCTGTAACAGAAGCCCAGTGTTATAGCCTTGACCCTGTTCTGTGTGGGACTGCAGACAGTGCGAACAGTGGCCATTCTTTTCTATCTCCCCACTGTTTGTCAACCCAGTCCCTTTTTTTTCTTTCCAAGCAGGCTGAGTTCTACACTGACATATTCGAATTCCCTCCACAGGGTGTTTCTAGGGCCCTTCATAATAACTGTGCGCCCCTTCACAGCAATGTCGCTATTTCCTGGAATGTCAACAGTCTGATTGCTGAGAATGGTCTTCACCCTCACAGTAGATGCAGAAAAAAAAATTGAATTGCACACTTTAAATGGGTGCAAATTATATCTCAATACAGCTATTTTTAAAAGATCAAAAAAAGCTCCCTGGCTGGCATGGCTCAGTGGATTGAGTACTGGACTGCAAACCAAAGAGTCACTGGTTAAATTCCCAGTCGGGGCACATGCCTGCATTGCAGGCCAGGTCCCCAGTGGAGAGCTCACCAGAGGCAACCACACATTGATGTTTCTCTCTCTTTCTTTCTCCTTCCCTTCCTCTCTCTCTAAAAATAAATTAAAATCGTTTTTTAAAAAATAAAAGGTCTACCTGGCTGGCATAGCTCAGTGAATTGAGCTGGGGCTGCGAACCAGAGTGTTGCAGGTTCGATTCCCAGTCAGGGCACATACCTGGGTTGCAGGCCATGGCCCCCAGCAACCGCACATTGATGTTTCTCTCTCTTTCTCCCTCCCTTCCATCTCTAAAAATAAATAAATAAAATATTTTAAAAATAATAAATAAAATAAATAAATAAAAGGTCTGAAAAATCAGCCCTGGCTGGCTCACTTAGTTGGAGCATCATCCCATAACCAGAAGGCTGCAGGTTCTATCCCTGGTCAGGGTGCATGCCTAGGTTTCAGGTTTGATCCCTGGTCCAGCATATATGGGAGGTAACCAATTGATGTTTCTCTCTCTCTCTTGCATTGATGTTTCTCTTTCCCTTTCTGTCTTCCTTCCTCTGTCTCTAAAAGCAATGAAAAAGTGTCCTTGGGTGAGAACAAAAAAATAAAAATAATAAAAATAAATCACCACACCCACCGCACCCCAGTCTTCTCCAGGAGGTGACTGTTTCCAAATCTTCCCCAAGCACTTGAAAAGCATGACACTGTAGCCACTTCACTAAAGGATTGCTGAAGTAACCCCTTGCACTGAAGCTGACACAAACGTGTATTTTACAAGGCTGATTCATAGGTTGAACCTGCCAGGGTGAAGGGTAAGTGCATTTGAAATGCCTCAGATATTTTTTTCTAAAATTCCCAAAAAGGAAAATAGTATCTTATTCTATGTTGCATTTCTTTGATTACTGAGGTGGAGAACTGTATCACTTGATTACTTGCCAATGTCTGGGAATTGCCTTTTTGTTTTCCTTATGGGCTGTTTGTTCTTTGATGGTTTGGACATACTCACTTCATGATTCTGACCTTCTGTTACAGATTCTGCAAGCCTTTTTTCCAGTCTTGTATGTTTTGATATTATATACAAGCAAAAGCTCTCCTGGTTCCCTCACAGTTCCCAGGAGTGTCCCTGGAATGAAAACGAGGGCACAGAAGAGGGAAGTGAGGCTGGGAGAGCTGGGCCAATGGGGAAGGGGGAACCCACTGTCTGGAGGAGTGACTAGCTGTAGTAACGGTGGTGTCCCTGCAAAGTGACCAGGAGTCTGTGGGTGCCCAGACATAAGGACAGGACTCTGCCTCTGGCCTCCTTACTCCAACTTCCCTGGACCATGCTGCTACTCGATCAGACAGACCCGTGGCCCGAGAACCTGGAGGAGCAGGGCTGGTGTCCAGGGACTTGGGGAGGCTGTCTCTGAGCTGCGGAAAGACCCAGACTTGGAGGAACCCACTGTCCCCAATAACCCCTGTGTGTTATGCTAGCATCATAACACACACTGGAATCCATGAAAGACGAAAGGAGACCACCATGATCCCGGCACACAGAGGTTCTCATCACATTCCTTCCCAGGCTGCCCTCGGAGGACTCAGGTGCAGGAACGCATAGGGCTGGACTGGAGCAAGCAGAGGCCTGAATCCCACTGCACCCTCTCCAGCAGCATCTTGGTGTCTACACTTGTCACCTTCACTGGGCTGTTATGGAAATCGGAGCTCCTGACACTCCCTGGCCAGTCCAGCCAGGAGGGCTCCAAGGTCGGCTAGCCAAGGTGGGCTTTGGGCCCGAGGTTCCCCACCAGGAACAGGACTGAGAGCAAATGGTCTCTAACGTGTAGCCTTACACGAAGCCCTCACACTGTCTCCTGGACAACGATGTGCCCAGGGCCAACCTCCTCTCCACACACCTCTAGGTCCTCATTTTAAATTTAAATAACTCTTTTCTAATGTACTGTTTTGAAGATAAGTAGATGCTTTGAATCCGAAACTCCTGACCCTTCCTCCCAGCCTAGGCCCCCTAGACAGGGCCAGGGCCTATCAGTCCTGCCACTCAGTCTGGACCTGACAGAGCACCACCCTCCCCCCCCCAGCCCCCACCATCCATCAGAGATCCGGCTGAGCCTCGAAGACCCTATCTTGGACCCACTTCCCCACCCCCACCTTCTCTGGGGCAATGTTCCTGCCCAGGAGGAATCACTTGCCAACAGCAGCAACTCGGGAATAATCCCAAATTCATGGTGCCGTGATCCTTCCTAACAGTGAGGTAGAGGCTGTTCTAACCCCCACCTGAGCGGTTAAACAGTGAAACTAAGGCTCACAACCTTAATTGGTCTGCCCAGGTCACTCAGGGATTGCTTTCAGGGGAGGGTCTGCAAATCCTTGTCTCCGCTGAGTGATCAGGGCCCCTCTGAGCTCAGTTCCAGCTACACAAGCTCAGAACAAGCCTGGGGCTTTGAATTCTGCCCAGAGACCAGTAGGTCTCAGTGTCCTGGAGCTTAGGCTTGGGGTCCTGTGTCACGGGAAACCAAGACCTGGAGACAGAATAGACTTGCCCAACCCCTAAAGGGTCCGCCCCAGACCTAGGCCTCCTCTCCTACTGGGACCAGTTCCCTCCTCTGCTGAAAC